GACAACACCACACAGCTTGGTGTCATCCGCAAACTTGCTGATGGTGCCTTTAATCTCCCTGTCTATATCATTGATAAAAATGTTAAACAGCACCGGCCCCAGCACGGACCCTTGAGGAACACCACTTGTGACTGGTTTCCATCTGGACTTTGAGCCATTGAGTACCACCCTCTGGATGCGACCATCCAGCCAGTTCCTTATCCACTGAACAGTCCACCCATCAAATCCGTACCCCTCCAATTTGGCAATCAGGATGTTGTGGGGGACCGTGTCAAAGGCCAAACTACACAGATTTCCTCAACAAAAAGGCCCCAAACTCTGTAGCAGGGGGTTTACAAACCTCCGTGGTCCTGTAATAGGGATCGAGCAGCAGCTTGGCCAGCGCCACGATCTGGGGCGTGCGGTCCCAGCCGTCCGAGCAGTGCACCAGCACCGGCCGCTGGTCGCGGTCCACGGCGTGAACCACCAGCAGCGCGGATTTCAGGAGCACGGACAAGTGCTGCAGCCACTTGGTGCTCTCCAGAGCCGATAGCCAACTAGAGGAAAACAAGGCAAGACAGTTTTTTGCTCTTTTAACATGCTTTCAGGTTTGGATCTTTGAATTTCTCAAATCAAAGCTGCAAATGTAATTCTTCGATATTTTTTATTTACATCTCATTTCTGGGGTTTGTAAGAAGCAAAGCCCCACAGGACACCCGAGGGACAGCCAGTCCTTCGCTGCGTAAGACTTGCAAGAAGCTTAAGTAACATTTCCTCAGACAAGAGCATAACATGACACCAGCAAACACAAAAGTGCTACCAGGTAATCATGAATTTCATCTGCCTCTGCTGTGTCCCTGCCTCCAGCTCAGGATTCAGTCCCAGTGCCACTGGAATATCTTGGGACTCTCTATATGCTCCAACAACCCTGTGTTTCCATGGAAAGGAAGGACCTGAGGAGGTACCTTTGAAATCTCCTGTATCTCAACTATTCCCAGGCTTTACGAGGTAGGCTCTAGGTAACTTAAGCCTCCCTACCCTGTGAAGATCACAGAATCAGAGAATCATGGAATGGTTAGAGTTGGAAGGGACCTTAAAGTCCATCCCCCCAGTGCCACCCCCTGCCCTGGGCAGGGACACCTCCCACCACACCAGCTTGCTCCAAGCCCCCTACAGTTTAAACTCCTGCTCCTCCCGTGTCCGAGCAGCAGCTCAGAGCAGAGTGTTCAGACACAGACCCCTGCATCCAGAGTCCCTCCCCAGCTTTCCTGGAGCCCCCCTTCTTTAGGGACTGGAAGGGGCTCGAGGGTCTCCCCGGAGCCTTCTCTTCTCCAGGCTGAACCCCCCCAACTCTCTCAGCCCCCCCTCCCAGCAGAGGGGCTCCAGCCCTCCCAGCATCTCCGGGGCCTCCTCTGGCCCCACTCCAACACCTCCGTGTCCTTCTTGTGCTGTACAAGAGACTTCCTTCTGTACATCTCCAGTTTAGTAATGGTGGTCATTCTGGATCCATGTTGAAATCATGGAAGACCCTTAGTAGCAAATGCAAAGCAGTGACAGGGTAGGGGACACAGGACTGAAGCAACTGCCATGACCTAGCGAAGATCCAACCTCAGAAGCTCCTGAGATGATGGGCCAAGAGAGGCCAGTTATCCCAGAGCATCAGAGGGCTACAAAATACATCTCCTGAAATGGCACGATAAATGCCTGAACTACATGGAACACCACTAGAATTGTCTGAAAAGAGCGAAACTGATTTAAAAATCCAGGAAGAGCAGGTGAGACTAAGTGCTAGCACTTAGGAGCCCACCTGAAAGCAGTAACACCCTAGTACCAGTACTCAAGGCCACAGTATAATCCCAGATCTCATTTTCTAGCTTCCCTTCCATGATAATAAACCAATGACTCAAATTCCATGTAAATGAAAAAATACAGCTTAGTGTTATTCCACAGGAAAGTCACCAAAGGAAAACCCACTGAATGTCAGTTCCCTGAGCAGCAGCAAAAGAATGCAGTTGCACAAACGTGTAAACAAAGGCAAAAAGCACCAAACACCCACTTACTTTCCTGGATCTGGCATTTGTGTGCAGAGTAAACGCAGCGACTGAAAGCTCTTCCGGATGGAATGAATGTTGGCCATCCCCATGAACACCACTTCACAGTTTGGGTAATACTCTGTAGGGAAACAGCAAGAAAGAGGAGAGAAACTTAAAAACTACACAAAGTTTTGATTTCTAAAAGAAGTTTTTTCATAAAAACAAACCACTGCTGTTGGGGGGAGATGAAATAACCTGTTTATGAATATTCCATGAGGAGAAACCAGCCCTTGGAGCTGGGTAGATGTTCCCGACATTATAACGCAGCAAAACAGGAAAGAGTCAGCGAAGTGTTTCTGTGTCAATTTTCAACGTTTCGCTTCACGTTCCAAAGAGCAGAGCACAAAGCTATGGGGATGGTGATCCTGCCGTGCTCGGGGTTAGAGAATGGGTTTTAAAAGACTGAGAAACTGCCTAAGAGACTGCGAAGCATTACAAATACTTAATGGATAATTTATGGATGTTCCTAAATTTGGTAAAATAATGTATAAATTTTTATATCCGTTATATATTCCTTTTCCTGAGCACTCAACAAGGCTGCGAGGTTACTTCATTCCCTGCTTTAGTTTTTCTATTATGCATCACACGTGTGAGAAACACCCCAAGCTGAGGATACACCCAGCTCTGCCCTCCCGGGGGGGCAGCAGAGACAGGGCACACCCAAGGGATGCAGAAGGGAGCACCCAAGATGATGCAGAAAAATAGGAATTCCATCGTTTTTCCCTGGATTTAGCTTTCCTCTGCCCTGACGCCAACATGTCCTTTGTGCTGTCTGCACAAAAACGATGACATTAGAGCTAAAATGACCTTTTCTACAAGAGAAAAAGAATTACTCAGGATTGAGAATATGGGACACGGAAAATGCAGTAGTTTCTTCAAACAGTATGTTTTATATCATTTGATTTCTTAACCATTAACAGCCCAATAAATTCTGGCCCAAACCAGAACATCCTGTTAGTGAGGGACTGTGAAACTCCAGCCAAGAGCCACTGACACTAACAGACAATTTAAGGGTTTGGGTTTTTTTTTTTTCCCTCTTTTTACTGAATTATGTTATAAATAAAGCATAACATCACTGCAATTTTTATACACAGAGAGTGAAGCCAACTTGGCAATGCCTGGAGAAAACTGATCAGCAAAGAAGGAAGCACTTAACGTAGGTCACATTCATTGAAGGTGACAAACTGTTTGGAAATTTTCTACGAAAAACTGAAGAAGCAATATATAGGAAAAAAAAAATTAACTTCTTGTATACTCTGCTTTTCTGTTTTCAAATTTTACTCTCTGATCACAGACTCACAGAATGCTATGGGGTTGGAAGGGACCTCTGGAGATCACCCAGTCCAACCCTCTGCCAAAGCAGGTCCTCCTAGAGCAGGTCCCACAGGAACGTGTCCAGGTGGGGTTTGAATGTCTCCAGAGAAGGAGACTCCACCACCTCCCTGGGCAGCCTCTGCCAGGGCTCTGCCACTCTCACAGGAAAGAAGTTCCTCCTCGTGTTGAGATGGAACTTCCTATGTTCAAGTTTGTGCCCATTTCCTCTTGTCCTGTCACTGGGCACCACTGAGAAAAGACCAGCCCCATCCTCCTGACACCCACCCTTGAAGTATTTATAGGCGTTGATCAGCTCCCCCCTCAGCCTTCTCTTCTCCAGACTAAACAGACCCAAGTCCCTCAGCCTCTCCTCGTAAGAGAGATGCTCCAGGCCCCTCATCATCTTTGTAGCCCTCCCCAGCAGTTCCCTGTCCTTCTGGAACTGGGGAGCCCAGAACTGGTCCCAGTGCTCCAGATGGGGCCTCCCCAGGGCAGAGCAGAGGGGCAGGATGACCTCCCTCAACCTGCTGCTCACACTCTTCCTGACACCCCCCAGGATGCCATTGGCCTTCTTGGCCACAAGGGCCCATTGCTGGCTCATGGGCATCCTGTTGTCCACCAGGACTCCCAGGTCTCTCTCCTCAGAGCTCTCTCCAGCAGGTCAGCCCCAACCTGTCCTGGTGCAGAGGGTTAAATGAGTTATTTAGTGGTTTTGAGGTGCCAAATGGAAGATTCATCTCTTCTTACTGGTGACTCCATATCAGAGGGTTATCTACTGCAGCAGACCCCAAAACAAGAATATATGATCAGAATGACTTTTGTTATCTTATCTGTAGTTTTTCTGTCCAGTATTTGTTTGTAGCCTGTCCACCCATGGAATTTTACCTTCTACAGTTGGGGGATTTTTACAAGTTTGCTCAGGTTTTTACGAGACCGTAGCAGACCGGACACCTTTGTCTCGCCCCGGTTTATGTGGGTGACTCAGCAGCACATTTCACCCCGTCCAGCATTTACAGAACACTGTTCCCAGGTGGTTTTATGCTCTGAGGAACAGACTTAATTACCAGCTAACCCTGTCCTTTTGAAGGGCTGTGTGCCAACTGCAACGATCCAGAGCCTTCCTATAGATGAAGAGCAGTTGCAGCCACGCGGCCTGTTAAATATGCAGGACTGAAACATATCAGGGTAATTATATCTGAGAAAATCCTTTTGATGAACTCAACAGAAAGCCCCAGTGGTTACCTGGGCACTCACAGCCTCCGCCTTTGGCTCTGTTGGCCACCGCCGCTGCGTAAGACCGGGCGTCCAAGATCAAAAGCTTCTGAGGCTGGATGGCCAAGCTCTCTGCTCCTGACGCGTTGGAGATTGAGGAATCTGGGGAAGAGGATGTGCAGGGATGAGTAACTGAAGGGATGCTGCCAACATTGGTTACAGCAATGAATCACTCGAGCCCCACAACGCACATACAGAAACCGGGGAATGCCCCATTAAATCCAGAGGATTGAATCTGTTACAGCACATATAAGAGATTAAGCTTACACAAAAAGAACAAGGAGAAACTTACCAAATTCCACATCAGAGAGGTCCCCTCCATTGGAGAAGTCTCTGGAACAATTGCCATTCATTAATTTGTTACTGTTGGACCTCGAATCTGAGGCACAGGCTTTGGCCACGGACTGGACAAGGTGTTCATCATCCGCATTCCTCCAGCCCCACCAACTGACCTCGGGCTGCCCACAGCGGGAAATGACGGCCCCATTGCTCTGGTGCCTGAGAAAGGAAAGAATAAAAAACAACAGCGGTGCATAACTTTAAGGATGAGGGTGAAAAACATGAAAAATGGAATGGTTTAGTCCAGTAGTTTAACTCCTGCCGGGGACCTGCCTATCGTTCAGCAGTTTTCCTCACCCTGTGGTTCAGCAGCAGCGTACTCCACGTGCTGCCCTTCAAAATGCTGACCACACACCCACTGAGAGGTAAAAGTCAAAGCTGAGACCAGGAAGAGAAAACAAAGCGTCTTCTTGCTCAATACCGTTGCCTGTTGGCCAGTGAAAGCCAGGGAACATTTTAGACCAGCAGATGAGGCATTAAAGAGGCATTCAAGACCTGCTGGATAGTCAGGGCTACTGCTGTAACACCAGGGTAACCAGGGAAGTTCCTAACTCATGCTCGTTTTAAAGCTAGAAGAGAGGTGTGAAGCCACAGATTTGCTTTTTGCTGAGATCTTTTAAATCAAAGCATAGCACTAATTAATTCTGACGAATGTTAACATTTTGGGAGGAAATCTGGCACATCTTCTGTGTGATGATGTCTAATGGTAACCTTACTCTTCCTCACTAACAGAACCCATTTCTCTGCTTCACCCATGAGTTACAGGAGGTGGCCCCCGAACGCTGCAGAACTGTCTCTAAAAGCCAGTGTATTTTAAGTATCGTTTCACCGGCTAAAAGGAAAAGAGCCTTTTGCATCTCAGGATGGTAAATAACTGCAGTTTTACTCATTCTGAATTTGGTATTAGGATCTGTTGGAAAAGAACAACTCTGCCAAACCCTTCTCAGCTGCTTCTCCTCTACATGCAGGTCTTCTCCCTCCTTCTGTGGGTAGTGTCCCACCTCTCAAACACCCACCGTATGTAGCAGAAGAGCACCAAGGGGCTGCTGAAGAGCAGCTCTGACGTGTAAGCATCAGTGTGGGGCCAAGCTGGTAAATAACAAACTCCACAAGCAAGTAAATTTTGCTACAGACACCTAAGTAACACTGAAAAAGGAAATATTGTTTGTTAACAGGATATTTCTCTTCTAAAAGGTGATATAAATTGCAAGCACTGGATATACTCATAGAAGTTCAGAGGGCTGGCAAATGGCGTAGAGAGATGAGTCCATCAATAACAAACTACGTCGGAGAGAGAACTGAGGAACGACCCGACTTGAACGTAGCCAGCCCTCGTCTGGGGAGCGGTATTATAAAAAAAAAAAAAACAAACCACAAGAGAATATTTTCTTTAAAATGTCTGAAGAGCTTGTAGTTCTTTTCTTACATTTGTCCCAGCTTCCTGTACTACACTTAAAGAACGGATTTGAAATAATTAAAACTTATCCAACCATTGCAAACACGCTCTGAAAAAGATTTAAAAACTCCCCGCTATAATCTAGTATAAAAAAGAGCACTGAAACATATTGTCACTGTAATTGCACTTACTGCCTCCGTGCTGGCACCTCCTGGGGCTGCCAGCAGAAATGTGATTCCCATTCCCTGAAGGGCTTACATGTGGCATTAAGGAGGTTCTCCTTGACCTTCAGCAGTGCCGCCCTGGATTCCAGGGACCTCTGTCCCGGCAGGGAAAGAAGCCCCGTGGTACCTCTGGAGAGCTGCAGGAGGAGAGGCCAAAGCAGAGAAGACACAGCTTCTCCCAGGCCACGCAGCAGGTCAATGATGCCAAGGAAGGGGACACCTAGAAACGTTTACTCCCTGCCTCATGAAATACCCCACCACTGACCCCCCACAGTCTGCTCCATTTAAACGGCCAGCACATCCCTTTACAAAAGGTGCCTCCAGGGCAATGTTCTTGCTCAGGACCCCACCAGAAGCCCATATTTATATACCCCGCACACGCCGATCACAGCTCCTCTACGTTATGATGCAGCAAAGGATTTTATAGAATCTTCCTGCAACAAACTGAACATCTCAGCTTCACGTCAACCAAGAGGTGTTTAGATCCCTCTAATGAGGCACACAATGGTGAGGGCTGCGGCTTGGACAGCCCTCAACAGCAAGAGAGCCCACCTAAACCTAGAAATCAACTTTTTTTCCACCTCTCTCATCACTCTTGATAAATGATTCTGGAGGTTTTAAGCTGGTTTATGACCTGCCAGAGCCGTGCAGGGCCCGTGGGGTGCGGAGCAGCACCAGCTCTGCAGCCACCGCTGGGCACGTTGTTGCAAAACCTTCAAATTATAAACCAGGCCGTGATACAGTATTTTAAGTATTTTTCATAGCTCTTTTGTAATCGTTTCATATCAAATTCTTTCTCAGGGAGGAAGGAGCTGACAGGCTGCATTACCCGAAGCAAAGAACAGCAATCTGAGCGCCGCGGCATTTACAGCGGGTGCCAGCCGGCGGCACGCAAAGGAGAATGTATTTCTGCTGAAATGAACACCCCTCCAGAAACTGCTCCATTGATACCAAATTAGTGCAGCAAAAAATACACGTCAGTCACTGAAAGGGCACCTACTTCCCTGGTACAGCTGCACAAATAACAAAAGAAAATAAAGCATCATTAAACCTGTAAGAAATCTATTCTGCACACTCAGATGAACTAATTTATTTTTCCATATGTTCTCCCAGATTTCATTACTACTCGCCTGCGGAATCATTTTCATAGGTTCATAAACAGTTATATTTTCATCTCCAGGCTCTTGCCTCCCATTTATACCACAAACAATAAAGCATCATTAGGCCAAAACCTAAGTTCATTAATAGCTGTGAAGCCCTAACACTCCTGTATCTGCACAAATATGCACCGTTCAGCTGTACCAGCAGTAACCAGCAAACCATTCTATTTAGGGTAATGCTGGAGGTCTGAGGACTCACTCATTCCAACTGAGCTGGCCATGGCAATAAAAAATGGCAGGTAGTTCTGGTGTGATTCCAAAGTGCCCAGAGATACAGGGGGATAAGAAAGTGTCACCCAGATCTCAGTAACCAAAGAGACTAAAAACATCAAAGCGGCACATTTCCTAACCCTCCAGAGACAAAGGAACACGCACCCTCCCTACACAAACTAAATAATAAATCACCATTTTATTTAAAAAGGGCTAAAGAAAAAAAAAATGCTAAGAAGCCCTTTCTAAAGCACTGTATAACTGTTATTGCACGCCTCTGCACAGGCTTAATTCACGCAGCCTTTTGAGTACGACTATAAATCCCCTAGGTCACAGAATCCCAGAATGCTATGGGCTTGGGAGGGACCTCTGGAGATCACCCAGTCCAACCCCTGCCAGAGCAGGTCCCACAGGAACGTGTCCAGGTGGGTTTGAATGTTGAATGTCTCCAGAGAAGGAGACCCCACCACCCCTCCGGGCAGCCTGTTCCAGGGCTCTGCCACTCTCACAGGAAAGAAGTTCCTCCTCATGTTGAGATGGAACTTCCTATGTTCAAGTTTGTGCCCATTCCCTCTTGTCCTGTCCCTGGGCACCACTGAAAAAATACTGACCCCATCCTCCTGACAACCACCCTTGAAGTATTTATAAGCACTGATCAGCTCCCCCCTCAGCCTTCTCTTCTCCAGACTAAACAGACCCAAGTTCCTCAGACTTTTCTCATCAGAGAGATGCTCCAGGCCCCTCATCATCTTTGTAGCCTCTGCTGTCCCCTCTCCAGCAGTTCCCTGTCCTTCTTGAAGTGGGGAGCCCAGAACACAGTATTCCAGATGGGGCCACCAGAGACAGGGAGGACTAATGAAGGTTTGAATAGATCCCACCACACCTTTATTTCACTGTTAGTACCTGCAAGTGAAAAAAATCACTGCTGGAATTCACAGCTATAATTCTGAGTGCAGAACAGGGCAGTTTTCAGTTTGTCTTGGCTCAACACAGCCCCTTCCCAAGTGGGTCTTCTGGAGTCATCTCTACCATCTACTGGAGAGAGTCTAGCGTAGGGCACCAAAGATGATGGAGGGATTGGAGCATCTCCCTGATGAGGAAAGGCTGAGAGAGCTGGGACTCCTTAGCCTGGAGAAGGTTGAGGGGAGACCTTATTAACACTGACAAGTATCTAAAGGGTGGTTTGAGGGACGATGGAGCCAGACTCTTCTCAGTGGTTCCCAGTGACAGGACGAGGGGCAACGGGCACAAGGTGGAACATGGGAAGTTCCACTCAAATCTGAGGAAGAACTTCTCTACTGACAGAGCCCTGGAACAGACTGCCCATTTCAAGACCAACCTGGATGCTCCTGAGTGATGTGCTCTGGGCAATCCTGCTTTGGCAGGGGACTTGGACTAGACGATCTCTAGAAGGTCCCTTCCAACTCCAACAATTCCGTCATTCCGTGATCTTTCCACAAAAATCCCAAAATTCTTCTCCCTAACATTGATTTTTCTGGGATCAAAACAGAGAAGCCACAAAAACCCCACATTGCAAGCCAGATTTATCTACATAAATACGTGCCTCGATTTTCAGAAATTGTAAAGAGAGAGAAAAACTGCAGAAGGGATGAGATTTCTCTAGAAATCCGCTCAGAAAATAGAAACAATGCTGCAGGCAGGTCCCATCTCAGCTGAGGGTTTTCAAAGCTCACCTCTGAATTCAGCCCGCGCAAACTGTCACAGCTCTTCCATGCTCTACAAGAACAGAAAATGAGCTTTTTGTGTTGCCAAGTGTCTGTGTCTCTGCTCTCTATCTGTCCCACTGTTCACAAAAGTATCCGAGACAAGTTATTGGATGAATTTTTTTTTTAAAATAATCATTATTAGGTTTTTTTTTTTTTCCCCCTGAGGTAAAGCAAAAAGAGCAGATTTGTAAAAATTTGATCAATAATGAAATCAATAGTCCCCAAATCATTCTTAACAGATAAAAGATGCTGAATGAGCTTTTGTCCCCTGCTCCTCCAAAAGGAAGAAGAAAGCTAATTTTAGGGTAACATATATAGAGAGAAAACTATGCATGGATTTCCAATCACACGCATCATCAGCCCCCAGCTGACGGGAGTTCTATTAGAGCCCAGAATGATGAACTGCACGTCTTGAAAAATCTATTACTAAATGTCAAGGTAAGGAAAAAAAGAAATCAAAAAAGAAGAACCCCCCCCTGATTTGAAGATTACAAATGAAAAACTACGGGGTAATTTAACATACATAGCTCATGGTCTCATCAGAACTGCAGAAAATTGAATGCCAGGGATTAAACAATTTCAGTCGATGAGGTTTCTGGAACATTGAAATTGCTCTCCCATAAAGCCAAATGCAGAGAAAAGTGAATTTCTTCCCCTGAACAGTGGTGCAAGGGGGAGCGACGCTTCCCTGCGCTAAGGGGGCTGGTGGGTGAGGTGTCCCCAACTATGTGACAACTGCACTTAAGGCACAAAGTGGCTGTAGATAAAAAATACACTATTCTCTTTTATACATATATATAATACACATATTTATATGTACTACCTTAGTAATAAAATACCTTAAGTCCTAAAAAATCAGCATATGCTGGGAAGTATTTTGCCCCACACATAAAGCTGAAAAGAGGATGGAGAAAGTCCTTGATATTCAGAGAGAGACTACATTGACCCCTTTATTATTTGGAAGAAAAAGGAGAAAAGACAGGAGGATTTACAGATGATGGTCTGCTGCCACAAGGTAATTTAATCTCCTTTCAGAGAACAAGAACTCTTAAGCAGGGTAAGTAATGTTTTATGGCCCACTCTTAATTCCAGTGCGCTCGCTCCTCCGACCCCAGCCGTGTGAATTTGTCACCTCTCCTTGGGCTCTGAATTCAGCACTCAGAGAACAGCTTTTCCTGGGCAAACTTAATGGAATTATCAGCATTCATCATCTTCTTAATTCCTTTGTCATCTAATTTTTTTTTAAGAGATTTTAAACATTTATGGGAGGATAACTACAGCAGGAAAGCGGCCAAGGCATCAAATGCCAGGTTCCAGAGCATTTGGAAAAAACACAGATGCTGAAATTCTTTATCAGGGAATGTAGCGATAGGAGGAGGGGGAAGGGTTTGACCCTGCAAGAGGGGAGATGGAGCTGAGCTGTGGGGAAGAACTTGTTTGGTGGGAGGGTGGTGAGAGCCTGGCCCAGGTTGCCCCGAGAAGCTGTGGCTGCCCCATCCCTGGAGGGGTTCAAGGGCAGGTTGGAGGGGGCTTGGAGCAACCTGGTGTGGTGGGAGGTGTCCCTGCCCAGGGCAGGGGGGTTGGAACTCAATGATCTTTAAGGTCCCTTCCAACCCAAACCAGTCTGTGACTCTGATATACTTCTTACTAAAAAGAAGCTGCCAAAAACCAGTATCTCAGAAAAGCGACATTGTTTTGAAGAATTGCTGGACACAATCTAAGGAAGAGACTGTCTGATTAAAATTATCTAAAATATGAAGATAGGGCTAACAAGGACATTCTTTTGTGATTTGAGTTTTCTATCTCCCTTAAATAATTTTGGGATTTGTCCTTGTTTATGCTGCAGCCGAGTACAAGCCAGATGTGAATTAGAGAAAAACCAAAGAAGTAGTTGGCCAAAGATGCCATTTCTCATTTCTTCCACTGTGCTGATGTCTTCATCTTATATTTTCATTTTCATATTAAAAAAAATAATAAAATCAATCTTAACTGAGGCGACTGCCCTAGGAATGACTTGAAGGAGATGTAAACTCTGAGTGCTCCCACAGCATGTGTTTGGAATTAAAAGCTCCATTATTCCCACTCAGAGCACGTGCAGTACGTTGGCCTTTTACATTTACAGCGTGAGAAGGGTAAATATGTGCTGCTGTCACACACACTCTTGGAAGTTTTGAATAGGCATAAACCAATATATATAAAAGAAGCAAATGTATAGACAAAGACACCAAGCTATCGGGCCTAATGGGTCACAATTTGTTGTCAGCTAAATACAGGTCTGAATATTTTCTCCCGTCACCCTCATTTGATACCTAAACCCTCAAGTTGTGTGTGTTTCGTCTGGAGCCCTGTTCCCCAAACCAGTTCTGGGATGTTTCTGGAGTGGGAGAGCAGGACCTCAGCCCAGGAGGGTGGCAGTGGCTCAGCCTGGGTACCACTCCTCCGGGCAGCACCCAGGGCACTCTGCCAGGCTGTGCTGCCCCTTCCCAGGTCCCTGGCAGGTCCTGGGCCTTCACGCAGCATCCTCCACATCACATACATGCAAAAATACATCCAGATGCAAGCCAGACCTTCTTTACTTTGAATAAATTATAAAAAATATTATTTTAAAATACCTTTGACACTTTTGCTCGTCTGCCAGGTGCAGTGAGGGGACATCAGGGGCCCAGAAGAGCCTGAACAGCTTTTATTACGAGCCAAGATTCCCATTTACAATTTATTTCAGCTTTTATTTGCCAGCACACCCCATTTACAGCTTAGAGAAAGGTCTTCCACCCACGAGAGCCTCACCTGTACACAACAGCAGGGATACGTTTCCAGGACCGAAAGCTTGCCACGCTCTCCAGCTCCTTGTCCGTGATCCAGGCAGGAACGATGATCTCCTGGGGGTAACTGCCGCAGAGCCTGCGAGGGGAGCGGCGCGGGGGGTGAGCGGCAGCGGTGCAGCCCGGTCACACACCTCCCAGGCCACACACACACACAAGCAGTATGAGCAACCCGAGAGACGTTCACCTCCCAAAATCCCATTTTGTGAATTCTTTCATCAGGATGTTAATAAACTCCTCCTTCGCCTCTACAGCAGGAAATTTCTCAGGAAATTCACACGTAGGCAATTTTTAACTCCAGCTGCTGAAATAAATCGGACCACAAAAAAGAAACCCCCTATCTCTCCACGCTAAAAGAATTAACCACTGGAGTTGTGGGTCACCAAACCCAGCAGCAGAGCCACTCTGAGCTGCCGGATTCAAACAGGGAACTCGTGTAAGTCTGAAAAAGACTCTTGGCTAATCCACCCTGGCTGAAGGCAGGAATCTGAGTGCACTGACTCCTGTCGGACTGGCCAACTGGGACCTTCTTCTATGAGATGCACCTCCTACTCCACACTAACTGGTACCATCATGAGTGCCAACAAGAACAGTCCAGCAGCGACTGCGATATGTCGCTCAATCGTGAACTAGTTCATCCCCAGCCCGTCCCCTTGAAGAGACCCATTTACTGCATGAGGACAGACCTGAGCACGTGTCTAAGGCTGTTCTACTCAGGAAAACGTAACAATCATCCTGAAAAAACGTTCTTTTCTCAAGTGCTGGCCACAGGAAGGAAAGGAGTAGTTTGTGTCATTCTGCTGCCATATGATAAAGTTTTTTCCTTTTTCTTTACTATTAAATACATAGAGGACAGCTATTTTTTCTTCCCTAGATTTTTAGAGACCAAGACAGATGCTCTTCTTGTAGTGACACCAACTACCACCTGCAAGTCATTATCCTGCAGACAGAGTAATGAAATAGGTTTTATTACAAAGCATTTCTGCTGGGTTTGCTGTGAATTGGATTAGGGACCAGGCAGCACGCTCTGTCCTCCCAACCGTCAACGGAGGAACATCTTTCCCTGCTCCAGCAGCCAGAGAAGAGGACATTTATCTGTGCTTTCAGGACCAGAGAAAGTGTTTTCTCTTATTTTCAGGACCTACAAGCTTAACTCTTTCAAACCAACTTTTTTTTTTTTTAATCTAATACAAGTCTTTGTCATAAATTAGAGAATAAGACACAATAAAATATTTTTAAAAGTTCAATCAAACTCCACTCTTTGCCCACTTAAGGCTTCCTCCTTCCTTCCATTAGAACATCTATTCTCTAAATCCTCCAGCAAGCGCATCAAAATGTGGTATTTCTAAGCCTACAAAAATTGCAACAGCTAATAAAATATTAAATAATACTTCAAAAGAACAATTTTCTAAACAATGACCTCAAAATCATCATTCTAATTGTTCCTTATGAGGAACTGCAGAACTTGGAAAAAGTTTCCGTAATGTGTTATAACAAAACTGGTGTTTCCAGCTGCCATTTGGCTGTGAATCTGCAGCCCCCAGAACTTACTTGTACTTCTCATTGATGTTGGAAATCCTCCAGGCATTGTTCATATCGAACCCCATCCGCTCCACTTCATTTTTAAACCTTGAAGTTACGTGTTCTCCTGGGTATCAAAAACACAGAGAGAAAATAAATCAGAAATCAGAAGGAAGATCCCTACCTTTTAAAATAGCAGAGAAAAACACCACTGCTCTCATTAAAAACTGAAAAGAGAAGGGAACAGTCACAGAATCACAGGGGGTTGGAAGGGACCTCTGGAGATCATCTAGTCCAACCCCCTGCCGAAGCAGGGCCACCCAGAGAGGGTCCCACAGGAACGTGTCCAGTCCAAAAATACCATTTGCATTTCACAACCCTATTTTGAAAATCCGTTTCAGGAGAACCACAGCTTGTACTGGTGGCTCTCCCCAGTCAACTGTCTGGAAATGCTGAAGTCCATGAAGGACATTGTCTCTAAAGTTATATGAGTTCATGTAAGAAATAAATTTGTGTAAGAAACAATAAGGCTGCAGATCGGAACTAAGCACATTGGCAAAAGCAATTTAGATCCATCAGCCTTAGTGGGAAAACATTAGTAGGTTTTCTCTTCTGAAGTTCAAAAGAAGTTGGTATCAATGAAGGTGACCAATAGGTGAGGAGGTAACACACAGAATGTGGTTGGAATTTGGGCAACCTCCATCACGTAGGCAATTCCAGATGCAGCTTCCTGTGCAACTGCTTTCCATCTCTGCCTTGGACATTACTCCTCCGTGAGCCATGTGGAGATGGGAAGATAAAATCCATAAACGATTGTTTGACAAAGACAAAATGTATAAATGATTGTTTGACGAAGACAAAATGCATAAATGATTGTTTGACACAAATATCAGTCACAAGATCCTCACAAATTCCTGGATTCATATATTAAAGGAACTGGAATGAGCCCCATTTGTTTCCCAGATACTTTAAAAAAAAGTATCAAAATACAATTGAAAAATTGACAAATGGATATAAGAGTAATTATTCTGATAGACAGAAACAGAACTAGAAGGTTCTCAACCAACACATCAAAATACAATTGAAAAATTGACAAATGGACATAAGAGTAATTATTCTGATAGACAGAAAGTCTAGAGAACTAGAAGGTTCTCAACCAGTATGTGGAAGAGAGTAATGTACAAAATTTCCAGGTTCACAGAGCTAAGAAATGTGATAAACGGAATGAATGTGTGAGAAATACTGGATAAAGTGATTCTGAAAGTCTGTCCACTGCTTGTCTCTTTAAATTACTGCATCATTAAATCATGAGGTGGATCATCACCCAACAGGGAAAAATCTATTGAAAAAAGTGATGCTTTAACTATTAAATGTTTCCATTATATATTTCAGAAAATCCTTAGTCTTTAAATAGCTGGGATATATAGAGATACAGATTTATCTCAAAAATGTAAGTGTACATGTCTGAAACAACATTTTTATGTGATGTTACAAAACCATTAGATAAATACAGAGAAAAAGGTAAATTAAGACTGAAGGTAGCAGCCTAACTATAGGATTTAATAACGTGTGAAAGAAAAGCTCCTGTGTTATTCATTCCTACAGGTCAGAGCACACACTGAAAATGGCACTTTGCACATCTAGACGTGCTTTACAGCATGGACAACGTATGAAAGATCTGCACAAGGGAAGTCCAATGAGATTATTTTTCTTAGGCTTTTTGTGAGGTAAAATGTGAGAACGTCACCGCGTGGAAATGGGGAATATTCACTCTTTGAGACCTGTGGGGGTAAAACCACGGACCAGACTGACCTCCAGCACTTACTGCCTTTACATGGTGGCACCGGTACAACGGCACCATAAGAAAGAAACAGACCTGCCCACCACATCTCCCTTCGTCAAGTGCAAAGGTGAGACTGCGACAATCCATTCCAGCCAGACCCAAGCTCTGCCAGCAAGTTTGCTGATGATACCAAACTGGGAGGGGTGGCTGACACCCCAGAGGGCTGTGCTGCCATCCAGCGAGACTTGGACAGGCTGGAGGGCTGGGCAAGGAAGAACCTCATGAGGTTCAACAGGGAAAAGTGTAGGGTCCTGCACCTGGGGAAGAAAAATGTCAGGTACCAGTACAGGTTAGGGGTGGACCCGCTAGAGGCAACTACTGAAGAGAAAGATCTAGGGGTCCTGGTGGACAGTAAAATGACAATGAGTAAACAGTGTGCTCTTGCGGCCAGGAAGGCCAATGGTATCTTGGGTTGTATAGGGAAGAGTGTGGCCAGCAGGTCAAGGGAAGTCATTCTCCCCCTCTACTCTGCACTGGTGAGGCCACAACTGGAGTACTGTGTCCAGTTCTGGGCTCCCCAGTTCAAGAGGGACAGGGAACTACTAGAAAGAGTCCAGCGAAGGGCAACAAAGATGATTCAAGGATTGGAGCATCTCCCTTATGAGGAGAGACTGAGAGAGCTGGGACTCTTTAGTCTGGAGAAGAGAAGGCTGAGGGGAGACCTTATCAATGCCTACAAGTATCTCAAGGGAGGGTTGAAGGAGGAGGGAGCCAGACTCTTTTCAGTGGTTCCCACTGAGAGGACGAGGGGCAACGGGCACAAGTTGGAACAGAAGAGGTTCCACTCAAATATGAGGAGAAACTTCTTCACGGTGAGGGTGACAGAGCCCTGGAACAGGCTGCCCAGGGAGGTCATGGAGTCCCCTTCTTTGGAGATTTTCAAGACCCGCCTGGATGCTCCTGAGTAACATGCTCTAGCTCTAGGCAATCCTGCTTCAGCAGGGGAGCTGGACTAGATGATCTCTATGGTCCCTTCCAACTCTAGAAATTCAGTGAAATTCAGTGAAATTCAGTGAAATCTTCCTCCTTAGCAGGGACTTTGTATTTTTAATAAAAAAACCCCCGTTTTATTGGAACAGCAGCATGGTATTGCAGCACTGAGGATGGCTTCATTATCGGCTGCTTTAAGGAATGGTCAGGAAAACTCGAGACACATCCTTCAGGGTTTTTCTGGATAGAATCCCAGTCCTTGAGGCTGCAGACTGCTCGTGGATTTTAAGAGAAACACATAAAACTATATGAAAATGAAATATTCTGTTCAATATCTCCCCCTTAATTTTTCAGCTACTGCGCACGGTGTGAAATCACAGATTTTCATCTGAGAAGTGAAAGCCTGGCCTTAACCTTTTGTCCCTTCCTCCTGAAATGCGAGTATTTTAAGAGGCCTCTTGAGCCAAGATGGATAATATTTTCAAAGCATCTCAATCAACTCAAAATCAGAGAAAAAGCAAGATACACCTTTTGTGCACTTGTGCCTTCTGACTATAAAAGGCAATCTTGTCAGCCACTGTTCAAATCTCCCATTACATACATTGGTAGCAACTTACATTTTTTCCCCCAGAAGTTGATACTTTGATCGATTTTAAAGCAATTCACAATTTTTATTGATATCTACCAAATATTGAGCTCCTTGGATGTATGAAAATAAATTACAGTGTCTTGGGATTAACTTCTTCAATTACCTTCCCATAAATTTATTTCAGCTATAATTCAGGTCTTAGAAGGAGAGAATCTTCCACCAGAAATAAGCAAGTTACAGGGAAGGAAAAGTTACTATGTTAAAGAAAATTATTTGATAGACACTTAGAAGGAAAAAAATTGATTACTAAAAGTTAATAAAAAGGTAAATGCTGCTTCTTATCCTAATCTACTATTAAGTTGAAGCCCATCTGTTTCAGCGAGGAAAAGGACTCCAAGGAAACTTGGCAAGGCATCTACATGTCTGCTGTCCTCCAGTTCCTGAATTCAACTGGGAGGGGAAAAACCTCTTAATTTGCAGAATTTTTCCCCTTGTTTTCAGCAACTGCTACCATAAAGCGCGTGAAGTGCAGGACAAGGAGCACCTCCTCCCACGTGTGTGGTACCTGTTGACTGCTCTTCCTCGGGCACCAGAGAGATTATTGCCTTTGCTTCAGAAATCAGGCCAGAATCCCACCACCAACCCTCAGCCTGATAACTGGGACACTTTTCTCAAATATGTGAATTGTGAGAGAAGAGAACCTCAGATCAGGGAGGGCCCGGAATTCAGACTTCCTTACAGTCAAACAAGTGCTATAAACCACCATTATCCCCATTTTTAGCTTTTATTTACTTGTGGGCTTTTAAAACTTTCCCGCAAGGATGGTATTCCACTAAAATCAGTCGCTGCTTTGCAGCTGTGAACGACCCTCAGGAGCAGCTCAGGGGCTTCTTTCTCCTTCACCTCCGGCTCCTCAACATCCATGTTGAAACCACTGTTGCAGGCAATTACAAAAAACATGGGCACAAAGTGTTTTAGATGGAAAGCTGCTGCCATGGTGAACAAAACATAGAATCATAGAATCGTCTAGGTTGGAAGAGTCCCTTGGGATCATCGAGTCCAACCATCTCCCCTACTCTACAAAGTCCTCCCCTACACCATGTCCCTCAGCACTGCATCTAAACGGCCCTTAAACACATCCAGGGATGGGGACTCCCCCCCCTCCCTGGGCAGCCTGTTCCAATGCCCGACCACTCTCTCTGTGAAAAATTCCTTCCTAATGTTCAATCTAAACCTCCCCTGTTGGAGCTTGAAGCCGTTCCCTCTCGTTCTGTCACTAATTCCCTGTGAGAAGAGACCAGCACCAACCTCTCTACAGTGTCCTTTCATGTAGTTGTAGAGAGTGATGAGGTCTCCCCTAAGCCTCCTCTTCCTCATACTAAACATTGTTAGTATTATATGTGACTGGCTAAATCAAATCCACCACAATCCTTTCCCCAGGATATTCGGGAACTGCTTTACATATTGGTCCCCAAGTAGCTGAGGTAGGAGTTAATCTCTCCTTTTTTCAGGCAGAACAAAACTGGGTGCAGCAGACACACAAGACATTAAAGGACTGGAGGTGTAGGTGACAGTATATTATACCTGTATAATCACCACACACAGTGCATCCACCTGCCAGGGAAGAAGTGCAAGAACTTACGTCCAGAAAAAAGTCCATAAAATCACCACACACAGTGCATCCACCTGCCAGTGAAGAAGTGCAAGAACTTACATACAGAAAAAAAGTCCATACTGGAATTTTCCGGGTTCAATTTACAGCAGCAAAGGCTGAATGTATTTAAACCTTTCTTTGAAAGTTCTGGATTATTAATCAAAGCATGTGATGGTCCCCAGAGGGTTCCCACGTACCCGGCCGACACAAATCGCCGTGCTGCTCCTTCTCGCTGGCGTACACCTCCATGCACCAGGCGTGGTAGGCGAAGGAGAAGAGGTCCTCTATCTTGGAGGGGGGGCGGATGGCGTTGTTCAGTCGCTTCAGCCAGTCCTGACACTGCTCAAAAGTAGAAAACTGACACCTGTCCCACAAACAAAGAGGAATTTTCAGTAAAAAATGCCAGACTGTAAGATGTGACAGACTGGATATGAATGAAAACATCCGTGAAAGATAAAAGTGAGAACAAACACCTTATTGATAACTGAGTTCTGCCTCTGTACATTCTAACGGATGGTGAGAATGGAGCCTTTGGGTATGAGTAAAGAAATACACGCTTAGGAAGGCAAAATAAAGTGTGAGCAGGAAAGCAACGTCCTGTGGTTGTGAATAAACCAGCAGTGTGCTCTACTGGTCATGGATGAGGCACGGTTATGCACGTTCACTGTAAACCCAAGGGCAGGATCACCCAGTTCAGACTGGTTCTTTCCCACCCTCCAGGCTGGGAAGGGGTTACAGCCCCGTGCTGGGGCTGGGCTCAGAGGGAACTCACACAACCATCACATACATTACAATCTATGCATTGTATTCCCCTAAACAAGAACATGTTTTTCATCAGACACGGGAGAAATATCCATTTGATTAATACGCTTAATTTGCAAATAATGAGGACAAGCTCCAGTATCTGAAATCTTTGAACCTGAGCTTTGCCTAACATTACGGACTAACAACGAGCGAGAGCACTCCCTGCACAGGAGACACTGCTCTTCAAAGCCGTATATTCAAATTACATTGGCTTCTCTTTTCAAAGGAGATTCCCAGACCCTGTAGAATAACAGGGTGGAAATAAAATCAGTGATTTATTTTGCTGTGACAGATTTCTTCAAGATTTTATAGTTATAAAATATTCACCAAGTATTTACATTCGGCTCAGTCTTCGTTCTCCTGCATTTATGCTTAATGACAGCATCTGTCTTCTCTAAGGGCAGGATTTATTACCCCTACCTGCAAATATCTGAAAGTCAGTCAGTGGAAGGGAAACGACATGTTCAACTCGTGAAACGTGCCTAAAGAGCTGTGAGGAGTTTATTTCCCATCTCTGACTATTAAAGCAAGCTGAGACTGCTACCTGAGCCTGGATAATCCTATAGTAACTGTCTCGAGTCAGACAAGATACATCTCACCCTAAAGATCCCATATCCTTTCGAAATTCTTTTAAAGTTAATATTGCAGATTACCAGTACCATCTTCACTTTAGCCCTATTATTCAAAACACAAACTCATTTGTTCATGGAAAATAACATGAACATGTTCTAAACCTGGTACCTCTGCCCCACACTTCACGATCTTCCAACGGTCAATACCATCAAATACTGATTCTTGGAGATGCAGTTTGAAGGGAAATTTGTAAGGAAAGGCATAAATACAAATAATTTGTATTCATTCTACAATTGAAGAGAAATAACAAATTAATGTAGAGAGGGAGGCTGACTTTCTTAAATGTCAAGAGCTACAAGTTAAGAGGAAGTTAAATATTTAATTCAAATTAAACTAAATATTACTTCTAAAGTAAAATCAGTCCTCATCAAAATACAGCGTTTCAGGAAGCAGCTGGCCTGTTAAACATTCTGAGTGCTCCGCTATGACTGGGGCTCATTTCATTATACCAAGGGTACCGCCAGCAAACATTTAATCAAAAAGAAACATTCCTTTCTTGTTAATTAAAGTTTATAGATCGAAATTAATTTCTGCGGCAGAAAAGTAGGAAAGAGCAGCAGCTCAGAGACTCCCGGGGCAGAGCGAGGATTGGGGGAGGAGAGACAGAAATTAATACTCCCTTCTCCGTGATGTTGCCCACCTTTCACAGGAGGGCGCGTTTCAGTGCTTTTATCTAGTTTTACATCTCATGACTAATTGAAGCAATATATTATAACTGATTGTAAAGCAGAAGGAACGCAGTGAGATTAAAATTAATTTCAGAATAAAATCAGATTAGCCACTTCAGCTCAGACCAAAGTTTGCTGCTACCACAGCGAGCAGAAATGCAAACCGTCTTGCTCTCATCCTCGTTACAAAAACCCCCAGCTCCCGTATGCAAAATCAGACAAAATAACCTCTTTTGGGGGAAAGCAAGTCCCCTAAGTAAGAAAAAACTATTTCCTTTGAATGTCACAGCATGCGGATAGCAGAGTTACCCCCCCCCAACACTCAGCCCATTCGTACCTTATAACCTTGCAGTCTTTGCAAGTCAAATGAAGCTGAAATATATCGCGGCACTCAACACTTTCTATAAGCTGCAACGGGACCTGCAATTGAAAAGATGATAGAATTTTATTTCAAATGACACTAACACAGTCATTTCTTTGCATATCTCACAAGGATTTACTGTAAGACTACGCGGAGTCCAAAAAGAGAGAAAAACAAATAAAATTATAACTACATTAACAGCTTCGAAGTATTGTATCATACATCAGCCAAGTTCCCAGCTCTGTTGCTGTGTAGTCCACAACCCTCAATGGATGCCATGGAAGAGCTGAACAGATCTGCAGCACTGGTGATATATGGGAAGGCACAAAAAGCAGCAGACAATGGATGCCATGGAAGAGCTGAACAGATCCCAGAGCCCAGAAGCTTCTTTCTCCTGGAAGCATCTTTCCTTCTTCTAGGTCCAAATGTAAGGATTTAAGGAATATAATTTTAGCTATTGGTGTCAAAAATGAACTGCTAAGCAAGATCTCCCCTAACAGCCTGCTGCAGTCTAGATGCTGGTTATACGGAAATATCCTTTATTTCCTCTTCAGGGAAAAACCATTTGGCCTGTTTGGATCCACACTCATGATCAAAGCAGCTGTATTAAGAGTAATAAAGCTGAATCATTCATTTTATAGAGGTGCAGTTATATGCACTTCTGTTCTATGGCACATGTTGTCAGCAGAAACCCCATCAGGCAAAACATGCAAGCACCCTTAAAGATAAGAATCATGGAATGGGTTGGAAGGGACCCCAACCCAGTGCCACCCAGTGCCACCCCCTGCCCTGGGCAGGGACACCTCCCACCACACCAGCTTGCTCCAAGCCCCCTCCAGCCTGGCCTTGAACCCCTCCAGGGATGGGGCAGCCACAGCTTCTCGGGGCAACCTGGGCCAGGCTCTCACCACCCTCACCCCAAACAAGTTCTTCCCCACAGCTCAGCTCCATCTCCCCTCTTCCAGTGTCAAACCCTTCCCCCTCCTCCCAGGGCTCCCCTCCCTCATCCAGAGTCCCTCCCCATCTCTCCTGGAGCCCCTTGAGGGACTGGAAGGGACTCGAGGGTCTCCCCGGAGCCTTCTCTTCTCCAGGCTGAACCCCCCCAACTCTCTCAGCCCCCCCTCCCAGCAGAGGGGCTCCAGCCCTCCCAGCATCTCCATGGCCCACAAGATGAAAATATTAGTTTTCGTTAGTATTTCTTGACTTTTACCTGAGAGAGGCAAATGTACACTATTGTCTTAAATAAATAAAAGTTAGTATTCTATTGTATCTCCCATATAACTGTCTAAACTCCAAACACACAGAATTCAGCTAATACCAATAATAAACATGAAGTGTGAAATTGTTCGAACTGTTTATTAGATTATACTGAACATCACACAAGGCAACAAAACCTCCACCGTTGAGATCCTTCAACACAAGGCCATCAGAGAACCATTCAAATACTCTTTATTCTCTCTGCCATCAGAGCAGCAGGACCCAGCAGTCCAAGTTCTGGCTCGAGGCTCACAAGATGTGGCCATAAGACTCTGCTCTGCCACTGCCCTTCCACACGTCCCCGGGCAAGTCCTCCAAGGTCCCAATCAAGGGGAGGAATCAAAACAGTTTCTACTCAGGCACCACAAAGCTTAAAAAATCCCCAATTTCAGTGGAATGAAAAAAGGAAGTGGAACTGAAAACAGTAGGCAAGGGAGAGAGATGTCTCAGAAATACCAACCACGAGAAAACTGAATCTGAGCATGAAGATGCCCCGAGAAAGGTAACAGCAAATGCTGTGCCAAGGAGTGACCAACACTCTCCAGTCTCCAGGGCACACGCTCACAGTGGTATCTCCTGCTCCCCTGCCCACTCAAAGGCAGAGTCCAGAGTCACTGCAAATACACAAATAATTGCCCAGACCTCACACTCCCCAAATCCAAAAGGCGGGTGTTGTCTTAGAGCTCAGCCTTTATCCCTGCCTTTTAGTCACATCACAATGGTGAAGGACCCTCCTTGTCCCCTTCCTCAGGAGGAAAAAGCACTAACCCCCACCTCCCACGCCCAGCACGGCCAGTCCAGGTAAGTTATTCTCTTCCTCTTGGTGTAACTGGACCAGTAAAGAATAGAAAACTCATGTGCAAGGAGACTGGACAAGACAGTGTCTGACCTGACAGACCAGTAGTCTGGGTATTCAAATAAAGCTGGAACTTGAATTTTGGTCCATGTTTTCAGCAATATTGCTGTTTTAAGATCTGTGATAGTCTAGTATAGGTTACGTAGCTAGCAACATGAAGGGACACATGACATGAGGAGTCCCTCCTGCAAGACAAGCCCCCCCTTTACTTGCCATCCAGAGCCACCGCAGGGAACGAGCAGAGAGAAGATGCTGAGACTTGGATTCCCACGTAAAGGAGTAGTCAAATGCAGGACAGACAAGACCAGGTGTACCGTTGCTACAGTTAATCTTTTTATTAACCGCTAATTAACTGCTAATTTCTTCCATGCCTTTTCTCCTACTCGATTCTAGTCTGCAAGGTAGAGAAACGGTGATGGTTTTGTCTAATACATGAAGGGACTGGAACTGACCTCAGACTGGAGAACCTTCCAGCCTTTCTTCTCGACTGTTTAAAGCCACCATTGATGTACATGGCATGCACCAACACGGACAGCAAGATACCTTTCCCCAGCAAAATGAGTTAAGACTCTATAAGATTTGCTTTTTCCGTCAAATTCCCCTTTGTCTGTTAACATTTATATTTTTTCCCTAGCCCTCTTTAGGCATTCCTTCCCATCCCCATCTTCATTTAAGCAGTTCTTCCCCCTGCTCCCCACTCCTCCCAGTAGTCTTGTTCTGGTTCCTCTCCCTCCTGTCTGCACCCTAATGACAGACTAAGTATTCTTCTATTCCTGCATTATTTTTAATTTCCTTCTTTCAAAGTCACTCTTTGTTCTATGCCCTTTAAATTCGCCCTCTGCTCAACAGCCATTCGTTTTCCTCTTGACAGTCTCCACACAGCTCACCATCTATTTCCACAGAATCTGCTGGTTTTTCTCCAAGGCCACCTTCACATCAATCTTTTTCATTTTCTTTTCCGGTCATAAAAATCCATCCTCTGATCCTCTTGCATTTTTCAATCTCCTTCCTCTCCATTATCCGTCCCCCAGTAAAACTGGGTACAATTCTCAGTACAATTCCCTGCCTTCACTCCCCATTCTTTCCCACCGACACCCTTTCCTTTCCATGGTCATGTGGTGAAGGCTCTACAGAGGGATCTGGACAGGCTGGATGGATGGGCCAAGGCCAATGGGATGAGGTTCAACAAGGCCAAGTGCCGGGTCCTGCATTTGGGTTACAACAACCCCAGGCAACTCTACAGGCTGGGGGCAGAGTGGCTGGAGCTGCCCGGCAGAAAAGGACCTGGACGTGCTGGTGGCCAGCCGGCTGAAAGGAGCCAGCAGTGTGCCCAGGTGGCCAAGAAGGCCAACAGCACCCTGGCCTGTGTCAGGAGCAGCGTGGCCAGCAGGAGTAGGGCAGTGATGGTGCCTCTGGACTGGGCACTGGTGAGGCCTCACCTCCAGGGCTGTGTTCAGTTCTGGGCCCCTCACTACAAGAAGGACATTGAGGTGCTGGAGCGTGTCCAGAGGAGAGCCACCAAGCTGGGGAGGGGTCTGGAGAACAAGTCCTACGAGGAGAGGCTGAGGGAACTGGGCATGTTTAGTTTGGAGAAGAGGAGGCTGAGGGGAGACCTCATTGCCCTCTACAACTCCCTGAAAGGAGGGTGTAGAGAGGTGGGGGTTGGCCTCTTCTCCCAAGGGAATCATGACAGGAGCAGAGGAAATGGTCTGAAGTTGGGGCAGGGGAGGTTTAGATGAGATATTGGGAAGAATGATTTTCCTGAGAGGGTGGTCAGGCACTGGAACAGCCTGCCCAGGGAGGTGGTGGAGTCACCATCCCTGGAGGGATTTAAGAAACGTGTAGATGTGGCTCTTCAGGGCCTGCTCTAGTGCCCGAGATTGTGGGGGTCTTTTGTGTGTGTACGGTTGGACTCAGGGATGTCAGAGGTCCTTTCCAACCATGAAGACTCTGTGATTCTTTAGTTCAGGGTGCCGCACATTGGACACCCAGTGCAGTTCATTTGCTCCTGAAGAGCCATCAGTTCTATTCACAGGCACTCCACCGTGTAACAGCCGCTATGAAATAAAGCAGGGGAGAAGCAATCAGTTTTGCTTTCATCAGAATAAACACGCATTGTTATCCGAGGCCAATCCTACAGCACTACAGAGAGAACCAGGGCACGGTGCTCATGCAGTATCCATCTCTTCACTCTCTGCTTTAAAATTGTCTCATTTTAAATAATAGCAACGTTCGACAACCCAAACTTTTCCTTTTTGAGATTTTTTTTAATTTTTTAAGTTTTAATTACTGGAACTGCCACTCATCTTACAGCAGGACAAGATATATTTAAAGAAAAATACCTCTGTAGTTAGAAAAAGCACAAGTTGTGTTTATCCCGCTGGAACAACCCAGCCCATGGCTGGGTCCCTGACCACAAGGCCCAGTGGCACACAGTGGTCACAGCCAGGCTACCAAAAGCCAGCACCTTCCCCAGTGACTCTGCTGTATACTCTACCCTTGGCCCCAGCTTCTCCAGGACACCGTGTGGCACCAGCTGTAATTAGTACTTTCTTCTTGTTTCCCCAGTTCAGAGCCTGAAATAATGTCAGGGTCACATTTCAGGCTGGTTACTTCAAACAGCACAAGGCCCCGGCTACGTCCTGAAGCCTGTACATGTCATATGGAGGAACTGGGGACATGAGGTCAGCTCAGAAAGTCTTCGAGGGGTCTCCAAGGTGGAAACAGTCACAGAATCTCAGAATGATGGGGTTGGAAGGGACCTCTGGAGATCATCTCCTCCAACCCCCTGCCAGAGCAGGGCCATCCAGAGCAGGTCCCACAGGAATGTGTCCAGAGAAGGAGACTCCACCACCTCCCTGGGCAGCCTCTGCCAGGGCTCCACCACCCTCACAGAAAAGAAGTTCCTCCTCATGTTGAGATGGAGCTTCCCATTTTCCAGTTTTCGCTCGTTACTTCTTGTCCTGTCCCTGGGCACCACTGAAAAGACTGGCCCCATCCTCCTGACACCCACCCTTGAAGTATTTATAAGCCTTGATCAGATCCCCCCTCAGCCTTCTTTTCTCCAGACTAAAAAGACCCAAGTCCCTCAGCCTCTCCTTGTAAGAGAGATGCTCCAGGCCCTTCATCATCTTTGTAGTCCTCTGCTGTACCCTCTGCAGCAGTTTCCTGTCCTTCTTCAACTGGGGAGCCCAGAACTGGACCCAGTGCTCCAGATGGGGCCTCCCCAGGGCAGAGCAGAGGGGCAGGATGACCTCCCTCCACCTGCTGGTCACACTCTTCCTGATGCCCCCCAGGATGCCGTTGGCCTTCTTGGCCACAAGGGCCCATTGCTGGCTCACGGGCATTCTGTTGTCCACCAGGACTCCCAGGTCTTTCTCCTCAGAGCTGCTCTCCAGCAGGTCAGCCCCAACCTGTCCTGATGCAGGGGGTTATTCCTCCCCAGATGCAGCACCCTGAACTCGCCTTATTGAAGTTCATCAAGTTCCTCTCTGCCCAACTCTTTAGCCTGTCCAGGTCTCACTGTACGGTGGTACAGCCTTCTGGTGTGAGTCAAGTATCTCCAGGTGTGATCTTGTTCATATAATCTACCAGGAGTACCTGAAGCAAATTTTGCTTTTAATTACAACTAAGTACATTTGGGGTTTGTCCTGAAGGTAATCATTTAGTCCCCTCCTCTGCTTTTACAATTAACCCGCACATGATGTGAACAATCTGAGCACCAGCACCTGAAAACCAAACAAGGACTAGGCTACTGTTCAGCACATATGAACCTCAAATGCGCTGCACACGTAAGGCAGATACCAAACCAACCATTCTTCCATTAAAAGCTCATACTAAAACTCATTTACTCACCAAGAATGAAAATTGAATCACAGAATCATGGAATTGTCTGGGTTGGAAGGGACCCTTCAGATCAGCCAGTCCAAACATCAACATAACTCTGATAAAAATAACCCATCACTAACCCATGGCTCTAAGAACAATGTCAATTTTAAGCACCTCCAGGGATGGGGCCTCAACCACTTCCCTGGGCAGCCCATTCCAAGGCTTAGTGTGAAAATTGTTCCTAATCTCCAATCTGAACCTCCCCTGTGCAACTTGAGGCCATTTCCTCTTGTCCCATGGCCTGTTCCTTGGGAGAAGACACCAACCCCCCCTGGCTACACCCTCCTTTCAGGGAGATGGAGAGAGTGAGAAGGTCTCCCCTCAGCCTCCTTTTCTCCAGGCTGAACACCCCCAGCTCTCTCAGCCTCTCCTCACAAGACTTGTGCTCCAGACCCCTCACCAGCTCCGTTGCCCTTCTCTGGACCCGCTCCAGCACCTCAATGTCTTTTTCGTGGGAAGGGTCCCAAAACTGGACCCAGCCCTCGAGGTGGGGCCTCACCACTGCCCAGTACAGTGGGTAATGATCTCCCTCATCTTGCCAGTATGACTTCTATTTTTTTATCTGTGTCCAAAATCTACTGTTTGAAAGAGGCCACATACAAATCCAAGGTTTCATAAGCTACGCTAAAATTTTAATTCTCCCCTAAATGCAACTAGCTCATAGGGAGAAAATGGTTAGACAATACCACTCAGCAGCTGCAAAGTTGGCAATTTTCTTAAGGAAAGGCAGTCAATAGAGCTCGGCCTGGGAACCAAACTTCCCATGTGCCGAGAGATGGCTGTTGAGTCTGCATTTCTATCCCACGGATAAACGTAAGTCAACACTTTTCAATGTCATAATCCCTCCAATTTACGCACGGTCTACTGGATCTTTTGGGTTTGCATTTAGAACACCACGTTGCTTTTACTACTGTGATCTAGGAAATTATCCATGGAAAAGCTCTCTGTGTACAGCTGTTTTCTGCAGTGTGGCCACGGGAGCATTATTGATTTTTAAATGTATTTCTTTCCAAGCAGGGGTGCAGCGAGTGACCCAGCAGCACTCTGCTACTTACTGAGGTTTCACAAGCACGGCTTTGACAGCTGCTCTATTGAGTTGTAAACAAAAATAGAACATGGTTTCTCAGGAGGAGCATTTCTACCACAAGAACATCCCACCTACTCCAAGGGGAGACGCCGGCATCGAACATTGCACAGACATGGGCAATTAATTTGTTTTACAGTACTATCATAGAGATATTTGCTAAGAAACCTCTTTCTTACACAGAAGTACTTCTCCCCGCCGAGGTGACAAGGTCATTAGTGTGGCTGGACTTCATCAGGACAGTGATTCTTGTGAAAATGATTAAAAATTAAAAACCTCAACTCCTAACATTAGTAAACATTTACACACTTTTAAATAGTCTTCTTACAGGTGTTTTCTGAACTGCCCCAGCAATATAAAAATGGTAGGAAAGAATCAAGATGAACACAATGAAGAAGTACATAGTCTTCTTACAGGTGTTTTCTGAACTGCTCCAGCAATATAAAAACAGTAGGAAAGAATCAAGATGAACACAATCAAGAAGTAATCAGTGAAGATTTAACTTCGAAAGATCACCATCTGATCAGTAATTTTGATCAACAATAACCAAAGGGAGTATTACTCCAAAATTTAACAATTTAAATATGGTTCCTAATTATTGCAAGTACCTTTTATGCTTACAGGTATTCCACATCCTCTCTGCCTCCGATTCCAGTAGAGTTCATACTAAGCTATTAGTGATGCCTATACCTGGTTACAGAAGCATTATCTCTACTCTGCTCTACCTCACACACTAACAGAATCTCTCTGGTTAACGATGACATGAAGCAGGAGTAACGACCCTGGAGATATCAGATGGAGTGAGAGGCAAGAACAGTGGAAAGTCAGGGAAGCAAAATTACTATGGTAACACTGACAAACCTTTGTGGACTCTCTCCTGAACACAAACGATATTATTTAAGAAAATATATTTTTTTTCTTATTCCTCAAAAACATTAAATTGAAAATTCTTGAAAACAAATACTCTCAATTATCCTAAGGACAGATATGACCTTAAGTGCAGCACATGCATTAGTGCCTTCGCTAATGAAGTAACTCAATCAGTTCCTGGCATTCCTCAGCACAAACTCCTGATTTCTAGGTCTACTCCTGTTTCTCTTATCTCAGCTCCTTGCTTTTAAACATTCAGTCCTTTGCTCTGTCACTTCTAGTTGCCAGTTTCACACAACATCCAGACTCTGAATTAAAAAACAAATAATCCAGCAGTAAGTAATACAATATAGATCTATTGTAGCTGGCCCCTTGGCAGAATTCAGCCTTAGAATTCATGTTCCTATTATAAAGCAGCAAAGGAACCCTATAAAATACGCTCCTCAAAAGGCATCTCCTCGCTGCCAGCAGCGTGGGGAGCTGCAGCTGGGGACAGCAGTTGGGGCATCCCAGCACCTACTGACCCTGGGCTGCCATTCCCATGCACAGAGGCACTTACACCTTCATTTTTAACTCTCAAATTATATTTTCTGATTGACTACAGGATCAGAGAAAAGCGCAGTTACGCTACCTCTGCACACGCACATACTTGTACCATCCCCTCTGGACAGTCAGCAGCAGCAGGTACCAGCCCAACACTCCCAGTTCAATTCCTGGCACTGGCATTTCTTTGCCAGCATTTTGAGTAATCGCCACGTTCAGAAATAATATCTTTATTTGCTGGAAAAACCCCACATCACCATGAATTTTAGCACTCTAATGCTGTACAGAGATGTTCCCCAGCCCAGCCTGCTGCATTGACAAGTCATGAACTGAAACAGCACTTCAAGTGATTAATGCTTACTCGAACACAGGCACATTTCCAAGGCCACAGACAGTTATATGACTGGAGACAACATAAACCAGTAAAGATTGAGTTTCAGTTACAGAACAACATTTTTACAGAGTTGTTAATACGGTTCTGGCACAAAACAATTAAAAAAACAATTTAAATTTAAAACTGACATCAAAAATGCCATCAAAAATTCAATCTGCTTGGTGCACAGGACATCTCACTGATGTTCCAGACCACTCACGTGTGTCTCTGTCATCTACATACTGGACACTCGTCAATTATATTTTGTTTCTCTTGCCTTTCTCAGCTTTGGAAAAACATGCAGTTTTGGTGTTTTACACTTAATTCACCACTGCATAATTCAGGATTTGTGACCGACACGTGGCAATTGTGAACAACCTGCCAGGGTCAGGACTTGTCTTGAAATAAGGAGATTGGTAAAATTGAAACAAGGAAATCGGTAAAAGATTTTGGTTGGTAAAAAAACCCATCATCAGGAGGGAAAAAAACCAAAATGCTTTGATTCTCTGGATTTTATTTTACTGGTTTTATTACAAATACCCACAAAAATATTTCTGTGCCATGTATAATGTCCTATCAAATTCTATATATAGTTCACAAATGACATTAGAACTATTGTTGTAATTACTATTTTTTTAAAATGCCCTTACAACACGAAAAATGTGATTTGAACATCATAAAGAGATTGTTCATTACCACTAACCTTAAAAAGCAGAATTATCGTACTTTTATCCTAAATTCCCCCATCTGGATAGCGTTCAGAACACCTGTATAACCATCGTAGCACCAATAACACTTACATTCACAACAGACTCCTTGAATTTGATGTGAAGCCTGTAATTAGAAAGTGCAATGATGGCATCCTCCGCTCGTCCCACGTACTCCGTACTCTCCCCGTGAAGTTCAATGAATGGGACCTTCAGAAAGGGAAGAAAAATCCTTCAGAAACTGTTTACCAAGAATATGTACCTCCTGTAAGCACACACTCAGGCACGCAACACATAAAATCACAGTGAAACATTGCTGAGAATACCTGGCTATTACTGCTAAGAAGGAAAGTCTTGGGTAAGGTTGGTTCAGAGGCTAATTGTAGCCTTTTTTAAAAATGATTCCTCATTTTCTTTTCATTTTCCTGAGTAAGTGCTTGGTCAGGGAAAACGATGAATTGTTATGAAAAATCTGAGCCAAATACCCTCACATTTTGGCAAGCAGTGTGACCAACCCCTTGATTCATGCTCTCGCTCTTTACTTAATGGAGTGGCATTTCCATAATGTTATTAAATTCATCCTAAAGTAGGCAAAAGATCTAAGATGAATAATCTTTTATGCTCCTGGTTCCCAATATCCACTAAGCAAGCTCAGGCAATCGGTTCAGGCTGAATAAACGCTACACAGCTGAAGTCAGTTGGACAAATCATACTTTTTGCTTCATATTTCTCACTGCAAACGTGAAAATGCCTGACATGGTGCAGTTTCATGAAGTTGGAAAACCTGCACTCATCTTACATTGCATATAAATTAAAGCTGTTTAATTAAAAATGTGACTTAAGTCCAATTTAGGTGAGCTGGACTGAAAAGTATAACTGCTCAACTTGAAAATAATCTGTTTTTACACCATCTTAGCTTAAATCCATTAAAAATGTTTTCTACGAAAATGAAACAAACTACCTTTTCAATTGATAGAAGAGTGTCTACAAGGATAAGTCATTTGAATTAAATTAATTCCAAAATTAAGAAACCAAACAATATCCATTTTGTGCAACAGAAGACTTTTAGCTTCTCAATAACAAGAAGTAATGACAGTATTTCATTAGTTTAGTGTTATTTAAAAAAATCCAACAACTAAGAGTACTTAAAACTATGGAACAAAATCTAGCCCTTGAGGTTACTACACAAGTAATGTCTGTATTTTTCCAACGCTCTACCGAAACTCTCGCAATATAACCCACCAGCTCTCTGTCCTGTCAACAGTATGTGAGGATTCAAACAGAAAATGTGTTTGTCTTATTACTGCACTGAATTGTGAATTAAAATTCTACGGGATTGGCCAGAGAAGACACAGGTCACGCAGAGATAATTGTGATTTTAACTGGCAAGGAGTAGCGTGGTCATTACCTGCAGGTTCTCATCCTCCCGGATCAGCTGCTTCCTGGGAAAAATCTGATTAGCCTGGATGCATTCAAGGCTGTGCTGAGTCTCTTCATCCTAAGAAACAAAGCAGTACAGTTCAATTCGGCACCATCACTGCTGCTGCCTTCACCACCCAGCAAGTAAGCAATGAAAACCTCCAACAGGAGGGACTGCTCAGAGAAGTCAGCAGCAGCAACCTACTACAGTTACTGAACTGGCAACAGCGAGCACTCAAAACAACTAAATATGATACTAGAAACAGGTTTCCTTCCTGATGCCTCATTAATAAAGTTATTTAAAAAAATCCCACAAACATATAATTGCAGACAACACCGAGTTGGGTGAGATTGTTGACCTGCTGGCGGGTAGAAAGGCTTTGCAGAGGGATCTGGACAGGCTGGATGGATTGGGCGAGGCCAATGGGATGAGGTTCAACAAGGCTGAGTGCTGGGTCCTGCCCTTGGGTCCCACCAACCCCCTGCAGCGCTGCAGGCTGGGGGCAGAGTGGCTGGAGCTGCCTGGCAGAAAAGGACCTGGGGGTGTTGGTGGACTGTCGGCTGAACAGGAGCCAGCAGTGTGCCCAGGTGGCCAAGAAGGCCAATGGGATCCTGGCCTGTGTCAGGAACAGCGTGGGGAGTAGGACCCAAGAGGTGATTGTCCCCCTGTGCTGGGCACTGGTGAGGCCCCACCTCGAGGGCTGTGTCCAGTTTTGGGCCCCTCACCACAAAAAAGACATTGAGGGGCTGGAGCGGGTCCAGAGAAGGGCGACAAAGATGGTGAGGGGTCTGGAGCACAAGTCTTGTGAGGAGAGGCTGAGGGAGCTGGGGGTGTTCAGCCTGGAGAAGAGGAGGCTGAGGGGAGACCTTCTCGCTCTCTCCAACTCCCTGAAAGGAGGGTGTAGCCGGGGGGGGGGGGCGGTCTCTTCTCCCAAGGAACAGGCCATGGGACAAGAGGAAACGGCCTCAAGTTGCACCAGGGGAGGTTCAGATTGGAGAGTAGGAACAATTTTCACACTAAGCCTTGGAATGGGCTGTCCAGGAAAGTGGTTGAGGCCCCATCCCTGGAGGGATTTAAAAGCCGGGCTGACATAGTGCTTAGAGACATGGGTTAGTGATGGTTTTTATCAGCATTACGTTGCTGGTTGGACTGGCTGATCTGAGAAGTCCCTTCCAACCTAGACAATTCTATGATTCTATGATAGTATTAGGAAAAAAGCATTAGCCTAGCCTAGTCCAGCACTACGCTTAAAATTCAACAACCCCACATGTAAACATGAATTCTATATTGTTTTTCAGCTTTTACCCTACTCTGCTCCGTAACAGACCCCCCAACCCCCTTTTGCTTACCATGACAGGCCCTGGATAGGAGGAGAACTCCTCGTCTTTAGTCACAACACTTTGGGGCTCTTCTTCACTTACTATTAAAATCTAGAAAAACAGAAAGATATAACACCAAAGTTAAATTCATTTGCTTTTGGCAAATAAATATAAACTAACTTTTAAAGCCCAAGAATTCAGCTGTTAGAAAACAGCAAGCAAAGAATAATTATGAAAAGATGAAACCCATCTAAACTCACTCTCCTGAGAGACAAAATTGTTTCAGAATGTGTCTGGTTCCTTCTGTTCATTCTGAAAAATCATCTTTGAATGTACTGCTGGGAGAATACCTCTCTGAACGCAGCAATTAGACCGCTGTTTATATAATTTAAATTAAACCACGCTCATCTTTCTTTTCCAGCTCACCCTGAATTTTCTCCCAAGACATTTGCAGATGGTGATTCACAAATACAGAGGTTATAAAACCAAGGGGATTGGAGAGATCATTTAGTCTGATCTGCTCAGTAACACAGGTTGAAGGATCCACCTGAAGATACTTTGTTTCAACTATGGCATAGGAATTAACTATAAAATGAGGAATTTTATCTTATGATTCATTTTCTACATCCACGGATGTATCAAAATATCCATTTTCTTGCACTGACCTTCTCAAGAGCTCCAGATCACTACTCACTAGTGAACCACTCTCTCCACTATCCAACGACCCCCCAGTCTTTAAGCATCTGCAAATTTTCTAGAAATAAAATTAAAGAGCATAAAGTCTTGAAGTTTATGCAACTGGCCCTATGAGGAAATCAATGATGGAAGTGAATACAGAAGTTACAATCTGATTTTGAGATTTAACTTATGTTCAGTTTTTAAAATTCAGGTAGGTTCTTCCCTTTTTCAAAAAGAAAAGGGTTCATTGAGGTGTTTTACGGCTTTTGCAGTCTGCAGCACAGAAAAGATACAAATTAAAATGTATCGGTCCAGTTCAGTCAGTTCCCAGTTCATGTGTCACCTTACTTATCAATATATTTTCAATTATCAGTGTTGTGGTTGACAGAGAAAACCACTTTGATTCCACCAGCTCACAGACACCCAGCAGTGCGGGAAGCGCCAACTCCATCCTGGATATTCGAGGAAATATTTACAGGGGGAAAAGGAGCAGCTGAGGAGCATATTCTGGAACTAAAGCATCTCACTAAATAGCCCACATCTAAAAACCATCAGTGAGAAGAAAGCATTGCATTGTCCCCAAAACCTCTGTGAAACAGGAACATCACAATAAACAAATGCCTTTATGTCCCCAGAGTAGGGGAGAAACAGCCTATAAAAGCTTGCAGAAGGACGTGTATGTGTATATTTATATATATTTATATATATATTTATATCTATAAGAGAAGGAAATTATGAGCAGAATCGAGCTGGAACTGCCACTAATTCACTAAAAATTAATGCAAAAAAGTAGATATAAAAATCCCCATTTTAAGCAAACAAGAAAAACAAAAGCTAGAAGACTCGACAGCAGTCTGAATCCATCAACTACGGAAACCGATAAGGAAAAATCAAAAGCCAGCACAGAAATTTCCATGCCTGCAGGAACAATGGAGAGCAGGAACATTCTTTTAAGTTCTCAGAAACAAAAGGAATCTAGAAATGCTATCTACTGACAGCGAGATGAGGACAGTATTATTGTTAATATTGTTTTAAAAAGGCAGAATTATTTAACATTTTCATTTCCAAAGCAGCAGGAGAAGAAAAATGGTTCACACATAACCCATGCTGTAACCGATGAGAGTATTCAAAGAATCACGATAATTGAAGCTAAAAAGGCCATAAATTCACCAGGTTTGATCTTCTATTAGAGATCAGAGGCCATAAAATTCCAGCCCTTGCATTCAAAACAAGAGCTGGTGCTGGCTTCCAGTGTGACTTGGGTGTTTTCTGTAGGTTGGGTTGGGGAACACTTATCTTCCAAACACACGGCTGGTCCTGCCTCAAGATACCAAGAAAGGAGGAGCTCAGCAGCTCTCACAAACACGGCTGGTTTCAGCTTCTGCCCTTTGGGTCTCTCTGTTTTGCAGAGTACGTGATGCACCGCTCTCCTCCATCTATGAGATTTAAAAAATGAGCCTCCTGCTCAATTAAATTTCAAACGACGGCTGGCTAAGCCACAGGCTTATTTGTCCAGTCAACCTCTGTCGTACAGCTCATCCGTCAAGAAAGGCGCAGACAGGATTCACTTTGCGGTATATCCTCAGCTAATGAAGACTAATGATCCAAGAGAAGATGGGTTTCGAAACTGTGAGGTTTACACAAATCACCTTCTCCACCCATAAAATAATGATAAGCTCACACATTCAGCTGTCAGGTCTACAGCTGGCCAGAAGAGCGATGGAGAGTTACAGCATATTTATGTTTGTAGAAATGACTATTTTTGAGGAGAAGGCCTGGGGTACCATCTCTGCAGGCTGCTGGAGGTGGGCTGGTGGCACCACCATCTCCTGCAGCCTCCTCACCAGCACCAACTCTGCTTTTCCAGAGCTGCAGCCGCTGTTAAAGTCATTAAGACCAAACATTTCCACATCAAATCTAGACAATTTAGGTACCACTGGAACAAAGCTTCATAGGAAAGCCTTCTAAACACTTTGCTATTTCAGAAAATTCCTTCAACTTCACGCACAATTATCAAAAGAAACACAGACCTAATTAAAAAGACAAGCATTATTACAAATCTAAAGCACGCTTAGTATGGCTGAGGAGAAGGTTTAATACATTGGGTACTGTGCTGCAACAAAACTGTTCTTTTATACTTCAGATTGACTAGATGTATTTATTTTTAAAGGTTACTACATAACTGTCTATGTTATTTTTTATTGCTGCAGAACAAGTTCTTTATTCTAATTGCTGAGTTCAGCTGCAAACCTGCTTCTACCCCACTACTGCGGCTTTTTACATGAATGTCAGAATCTTCTTTTTAAGGTAAATTTTGGGAAAGCTGAGTGAAAAAAAATGCGGTGGATCCAGTTTTAATCAGGACTATCGGACAGAAACTGTGATGTTGCCAAGATAAATGGTACAAGTCCTTATAAGACTGGTTCTAAAGCAAATAGTTTGCACGCTCACGCTGCTTTTAGGTATTAGTGAAACGCTTCATCGACTGAACTGCCACAACACCAAAGTTATTTTTAAAAATTGCTGGCAAAAATAGCAAGAAACATCGAATTGTTAGAACAAAGTTCACTGATCTGATGGACAGCGAATATACTGAAAGGAGGAATTCATCCCCCATCGTGTCAACAAGCTGATCCCGCTCCCTTTGTGATCTCACGGTCACTGGATGGAGCCCCAGGGGAAGGCAACGGAGCACTGGGAGCAGGGACGGGGCCACACGCCATTCTCATACTGAGACTGTGTGAATGAATCCCAAACCACACTTGCAATCTCAATTTCTTTCTATATCAAGATTTTCTAATCCATTTCTACCCGTACATTTAGCAAACTCCTCCAGGGTACTCATGTGAACAGGCAAAAGGAGCCCCGGAGTGGTGTGACCCCTTGGAAGGGGGTTTCTGACCCTCACTTCATGGCGTTATCACTCAGCGGGGAGGAGGAAGAGGACATTCTTCATACTGGGAGCCCCAAGGAGCCACTCCGTTTAATTTGACCCATGTTAATTAACACACCGTGCTACTTTGAAGCACAGCTTGATGTGAGACAGGCTCAGCGCAAACTGGCTGAAGAAATCCATTCTCAAGCCACCCCTTCCAGCTTTTCTGATTAGTGGCAGAATGCAATGGGAATTCTCATTTTATTTAACTACAGCCGGCAAGCGATCGGATCTTCCATGATCCATCTTCCATGACAGCAAAAACACTTTCCCAGCAACGGAAATGTTCAAACACAGCTCAGATAAAACTAACCAAGAAAAAACACCCTCAAATTCAGGCTCCCACTTATAAATAGGATCCCGTATAAATAGGAGATAGCTTAAAAATAGTGTAGTGAAACTTGGGTTTATTGTTCGAAATAACATTTATTTCTTTCAGGACTGAGGCCAAAAAAGGTTACATTATCAACTTACTGTGCTGCCCTTTCAACTGTAGTTTCACATATATTAAATTACACCAAAAAAAGAGGTTAGCCTTGTTAATTCTCCGTCTTATGTTCTGCTTGAAAGGATAAATTATTAGTAAAGGTTGTAACCTCAGACTCTTGTTCAGCCAGTATGGGAACATCTTAATTACCTTTCGTTTCAGATGTGCCTTCTGGTCTAAATTACGTACATAATTAAAACTAGCAATAACCATCTGTTTGCCAGTGATTCTAAACAAAAAAGATTATCTAACTAAAGGATCATTTAAATTCACATGTATCTAAATGTAGTTGGATTTATAGCAAGGAAAAAGAAAAATTGGAGAGTAAAAAAAAAAGAAGTACCCAAGTGTTTCCCTTTCTTTCCCTGCCTCCCCTGTCCGGATCCTGAACTCCTTTTGTTGTAGTGTCAAAATTAAATTGTGTTGATCCTTAGTCTCAAAAAATAGCTATGTTACAGTCACCCTGTAAAAGTTTTAGATAAGAATGCAAAGGTTTTGACAAAGAAGCATTAGAATGTTTGGGCATGAATTACTCAAGAATGTGACCTGGCTTTAGCAAAAGCTGCTTCTGTTACAAGTGAAAACGCTTCTACCCCTGTGGCAGGTGGAAGGAAATCATTCTGAGATAAGGATAAACACTCAGTTTCCCACGTTTGGATCCCCGACGGCCAGGTTTCCCCTCCTTCCTGGCACCACAGGAGGAAGTAACCAAATAGCTTTGCTGAGGATTTACGGGGGAAGCAGCTGACAATAACAGGCATTTACACATCGCTCCGGAACAGGGAGACAAAGAATCACATTTGAAGATTCTGTGCACAACTCAGAGTCAAAAGTAATCTTCTTCTTAGAATTAAAGGCTGCAAATTCCAACTAAGTAGAATACAGATTTTTGTCTAACATCTTGGAAAATGTTTAATTTAGAGATTAATCAATGATAACTGTAGAACCCACCATCACCAAGCAGCTTGTCTCGTCAAAACAATACGCTTACCAAAGAATACGAGAGAATAAAACAGAGCTCTTTGTCCCAGAAAGTTCCAGATGATGCTCTTCTGATACCTCACATCGGCAGCTGCAAAAAAAAAAAAAAAGACAGTACTTTAAAACATGAACCTTCAGAAAAAAACCCACTTATTATGTAACCAGCAACTGATGGAAGAAACTAAACTTTAGGGTACTTTGTCTTAATTAAAGAGAAAAAGGAAAAAGCACTAACTACTATGCAAGTCCTAACTATTGAGATCTTAAGGTGCCCAAAGAGGGAATTTAGTGACTGGGTTCTGACAGGTACACACGTGAGGGTTGAGCTCTCTCCTGGTAGGGAATAGTTCAGAAGTTGTGGCCACAAAGCAGTTCCATTTTTTTTAAAACTTCTTTGACACACACAGAAGTGGGAAAAACATATTACTTAGCTACAAGCTACAGGAAAGCTCTTCTATTGAAGATAGTACAAAAACAGTTGGATCTTCTAAAGTGTCCTAATTTTATGCGAAAAATAGCTTTTTCACCCCGCAAGCAAGCAGATGAATACCCCTAAATACCGGGTTTTGCCTAAGTACTTCTGGACAAAGCTGCAAGAAAGCCAAGAAGAAGAGCAATGCTCATACAACACCATTCCTCCCAAGCCTTATCTTTCCAACTTCCCCAGTGCTGCACAATTATTTCCTAAAAAAATTCTTACTTTAAGTATCGTGTTACAAATACGCTCCAACTTCCCCAGTGCTGCACAATTATTTCCTAAAAAATTCTTACTTTAAGCATCGTGTTACAAATATGCATCCGTCAAAAAATTATATGGATAAAATACCTGATTTGCCTCATTCTTATGCAGTGCCTTCGGTAGGTAATTCAGAGGCAGGTGCCAGAGCACCTGAACTGCTCCCACAGCTCTGAGCCCACCTGACACCCAGTTTTATACTAGAACATCCCAACACTTAAAATTAAAGTTCCAGACTAAACCCAGCCATTCCTAGAGCACACACAGAGCCAGGCTGATGGACTCCCACTCCCTTGCACCCAGTGCAGCAGCAGATTTGCTCTTCAGACTCACTTGGAAGCCATCCCACCAGCACACTGGGTACATATGGGCTGGGAACTCCAGCTTCCATAACCACACAATCCTGCTGCTCAAAAATGTTTGCTTGTGCTCTCACGGGCCACAGCTAGTGGTCATTTTCACATTCTGGTCCATTAAAAAAAAATATCTCTCTTCTGCATTGATTATGTTCTTTCCTTTATGGCTTAGAACAGGAAAAAAATAAAAAATACTTTTAGTACACAAAAATGGATATATAATTTCAGGACCAACATGGTAGAAAGAGTTTAAAAAGTACAGTTGCATCAAGCAACAGAAATTCTAATATTTCACACATTGGACACACTTTAAGGGAATCTCATATGCATCTGCATTCAGCTATTATTTTTAAAAACCTGTGACATGAGGATGCTCTGCTTTAGCAGAAAACACCCCCTGAATGACCCCAGCTGTTAAAAACCTCAGCTGATCACAAGTCACAATTTTATAAAACGGTTTCTGAAAGCAACATTTGGTTACCTGCAACAGAGGTCAACTTTTAAAAATAATTTTCTTTTAAAATCTCTCTCAGCCAACAAGCCAAATGCTGGTTCCAAAAGCTTTATGGGTTGATAATTAAACATGGCACACAAAGCAGAGGACAGAGCTTTGCTTTGAGGTACCAGCTTGATCATGCAATAAGTTGAATTTAAGAGCAGCTCAGGTGGACAAAGTCACCTTTGATGGGAATACTCAGTTTATTAAATAAACAACAAAAAAAACAAGCCATGAAGGCAGACTATGCAACTGCAGAACAACTCTTCAGAGACACTTTTCTGGCCCCGTCCTCGCTTTTAAAAAGACAAGACACACATTTAGGGTAGGAGGAGGTAAACTTATTTTGTGTATTTTAGGTCTAAGAGAAAAAAAAAAAAAACAACCTTCACAAAATCTGCAACAAGCTTTTTATTGAATTTAATGAGGTTTGGAAGAAGCCACCAAATCTCCGGAGTTTTGCAGAGAAGTTTAAAAACAGGAGAAAAATGTTCCAATCTAAGCATTAACAACTGCGCTGTGTCCCTGCCAGCATTCAGGCAGCACTCACGGAGACGCTCAGCAGCATTCCTCGCGCGAGGCTGCGCCTCACAGATAAGCACCTCCAGTGTTACCGCTTCCTGAGTCAACAACGGGGGCCAAAATAAAATAAAATAAAAAAGAGCTGACTGCAAGAAGAAACATGGCTATGAATTTTACTACCACCTCCAAAACCCTAATCCCTGAAGGGAGGCGCGATCCCAAGTACCAGTGTGTGACTAATTAATACACGGAAGCTTGTGGGCGACGCAGCCTCCCCCCCATGTGCTCCCCCCATCTCCTTTGCTCTTCTCTTTGGCCCCCAGAAGCTTTCCTGCTGGGAAACCAAAGGGCCAGAGATGGAAAAGGGATCAGGACCCTTTTCTTTCAGTAAAACCTACAAACTCAAACGTGTCTAGTAGAGGAACTGCCTTGGCACCATCTTTCTCATTAGGCTGTCACATCCTCATGATTGGCTCCATTTAGATTTTTTAATTTAAGCACAGGTGCTGAAGGACATAGTGGAGACATTGTCCAATTTTAAACATGTAAGAAGTTCTTCTGCGACAGAGCTCCAGCAGTTAAGGTGATGTAAACAAGAAAACCCAAACTAAGCTTTTACTTTGAACCATCTTCTTAGGATCCTTCTCTGTTGACTCCTTTGGGAACTCAGACATCAGTTGAGCACAATTAGCGCACAGGTGTTGCCTCCATTGCTTTTTCTTAGAAGAGTCTCCAGAGAAGTAGAGAACAGGCCAGGTTGGACGGGGCTTTGAGCAACCTGGTCTAGTGGGAGGCATCCCCGTCCAGGGCAGGGGGTGGGTCTGGATGGGCTTTAAGGTCCCTTCCAACCCAAACCATTCTATGATATATCAATCATTGGAAGAGTGAAACACAAGGAATAATATTATTGTGGGGGAAAATTCAGAATAAAGGTTGAGCACTGCAACAGGTCCCCAGGCTGCAGAACCTCCATCCCTGGAGCTATCCTAAACCTGAGCAGCCCCTTAGCAACTCCATCCAACATAGAATCATAAAATTGTCCAGGTTGGAAGGCACTTTTGGGATCAAGTCCAACCATCAACCCAACAATGATAAAAACCATCACTAACCCACATCCTCAGCACCACATCTACTCATCTTTTGAGTATCTCCAAGGATGGCGACTCCACCCCTTCCCTGGACAGCCTCTTCCAATGCTTGATAACCCTTTCAGTGAAGAAATTTTTCCTAATATCCATCCTAAACCTCCCCTGGCACAACCTCAGCCAGCCCCTGCTCTAAGAAGGGTGTTGTACATGGCTCCCAATCTCAGTGATACCATCAGTCTGTGACAATGTTTTTCTTGACATTTATTTAAATACAACATTGGCACATAGTTATGAAAAACACTCTTGAGAAGTTCTAACAAACATGTTCCTTTAATTAGAAGATTGGCAAGTTGTCACTTGATTTTCTCAGCTGAAAGGCTGTATCTAGCAAGAACAGAGCTAGGATTTGATAAGCATAAAGTGAATTGACAGAAGAGAACAGCAGCTTTGGAAAAAAACAAATCCAAATTCTCTACCCACAAACAAAGCTATCTCATGGAGACACAGACAAACAAAACCAAACGTGCTGCTGGTAACTGAGTATTTTTTCCTCCCTTGGCTGAAATATGGTATTTCTACATTGCTTATGCCACACCATGGCACAACCTTCATGTTATGCAAGTGCAGCTTCTCATTATTTCTGTTTCCGTTTGCATTTCTAACTTTGCAACACCACTGCTCCCATACAGCCCGGCTTCGCCAGGACTGGACCTTCTCTTGCACCATGTTGTCATACACTTACCATTTCATCACCTTGTTGTTTGCCCACTTTCTGCTCAGCTTTAACTCGCATATCGGCTGGTTCTTGTCCCCCTCAATGTTCTTCCTAGCAGATTTTAGCTCGCTTTCCCCTAAAATTATTTTTACCCTAAGGAATAGGAACAGAGTCCTACTATCAGGTACCTCCCACTCGGGGTGACGCGGTTGGCTTGTGGCTGAGCTAAAAGCCACAGAGGGGATGACAGCCCTGGGACTGGCCCTGCAGGGTTACTGCTGTCTAGAGAAGTAGTGAAACACAGAGAGAGTGAGCAGAAGGAATGCTGATTTTCAAGGAGGTATTTTACAGTTTCTACTGCAATGTGTCTTTATCCTACGCTTCCCCAGATTAAGGCACGTGATTTCCAGGTGGAAAGCATCCAGACAGACTCAAAACGGGACAGAACAAGCAGAGCTCAACAACCAGACCAAACATTTCCCTCTTCCACAGGGAAACATCCTACACAAGAGCATTTTGAAACCGTCTTATTCCATTTTCCATTCACCTGTGTTTCTGTGAGCAAAGAATAAAATTAATTATAAGAGTCCAAAGCAAAAAAATTTTGTCAACATCTGTCACTGCCCTGACTCATGCGTTAATGGTAAGTAATTTAGTTTTCTGTGGAAGCCTTTACGGGGAGGCACATTAGTTTCCTTCATCTTCCCACTCAGAAGAGGCACTAATCTGTTTTTAAAGCCGTTGATTAAGCTGAGTATCTGTGCATACTAGTTAAAAAAAGATTACTTCTCTTACACTCTTCAAAAATCAAAGGCAGAAGCAACTGTTCGAAGTTAAAGTGAAAACCAGCTCAAACAGTTGAGCACAGAGTGAAAGAATGAAGAATCCAGTGGGAAGAGCAGGAAAAGCGCTGCCGAGATTGCATGTACCCAACAGCTAAAGGGAGTAAAGAGAAATTGGAAGAAATTGGATCTTGCATTAAGAAAGGTCCATTTCTCCATAACTGATGTAAAAAAAAAAAAAAAAAAAAAAAATCAGTGGAACTTTAGGTGGGATTAAAGCATTAATTATTCCAATAAATATGAAGGTTTTCTTAGGAAAGTGTGTCTGAATAAGAGATTATACACTGGTATTCTCCTTCACTGTCTCAAAACCACCCAGGCCAAAACACCACAGGA